GCTTTTAATAAAGTGTGTAATGGTCTTATATTTGTCTGCCATCTGTGACGTCACATCTCAGAATAATCACTAGTGATTCAGCCAATCAGTATGGCCATTTACTGAGACATTAGTCACATGACATCAACGGCTCTTGCATCTGTGCAAAATGTCTAATATTTACCGTGCGAAATAGTCCCATTTGTCCACATCGATGCCGTTCTGTTTATTTGCCACAATCTCATACAGGAAGGATTTGTCTTCATCTCTGCCCTTGTATGTCCACTGAAAAGAAAAGTCTGTTTTAGTTCAACTTTTTTGCTAAAGATAATTCAGTTTAATTAAGCACAGCTGGAGTATCAGTTTGTACCTCTGAGGTTTTTGCTCCTTCGATTAACTCTTTAATGAAGGTGACGTCTTTATCATCCAGTCCATGTTCTTTCAACACGTCTTCATTCTCAGCCTTCAGACGCTTCACAATGTCATCGAACATCAGAACGGACATCTGCTCATGCTGCAGTAAAGACAGAAACACAGATGCGATCATAAATACATGGTGTACAGAATCAGTTGCACGGGCTGCATGAGCAATGTGTTTGCGCTCACCTTCCACTTTTCAGGGATGTCATCATGCAGGCCTGAGAAAAAGAAGCAGCTCTCAGGTTGAAAATCATATTTTATACATTACCAAACTTTTTCAGGCACATTTACAAGACATACATTTACAATAGCTTGAGTTCTGCATGTCAAAATGTAACAATATGAGAGGAAGCTTGCATGTCCGCAGATCCTTCTTATTAGATTTCATCTCACACTGGCACTTACCTCTTAATTTTTTTATTCTTTTGGCTTCAGGAATAACCAGACCATCAAATACATGAGAAAACGGACCATGACCTAAAAATAAATAGAAAATGTATGTTTTAAAGCATTTTAATCTGTCATATGTCTCTTTAAACCTGAATAGAAAATGTATGTCTATTTTGCACAAGCACATGATCTCTGAAAGTGATAATTACAGTTTGAAACCAACAGTATCTTGTTTTTCAAATGTATAAGTAAAACAGGATTCTGGTTTTGGGCCACTAAACTCTGTGTCCCCTTTGTGGATCTACATTAAACAAATATATCAAGCAGCCAATAATTAAAGCAATAACTGAAAAATAATTGGTAGACAGTGACCTTTTCAAGTTAAGGTCCGTTTTAAAATTCAAATAGGTGTTAAGATAAATGTTTTTAAGCACACAAAACTATTATTTTATTAGCAATAACTGTTACTGTAACTGTTACTGTACTGTGTAGGTAAGGTCAACATAAATATGTGCTGAATAGTTTGCCCCTCTACATTAGACAGGCTCAAACACTTGCTGTTTTTAAATCTAGTCTAAAAAACGTACTTCTATAGTCTGGCATTTGACGCTACATGAGAGCTGCTTTGTTTTATTGTCTTTATGGTGTCTTATTGTCTTCTTTTGTGTTGTTGACTGTTTGTATCATTGATATTTTTTTATTATTTTATGTGTGTACAGCACTTTGATAAACACTTGCTGTTTTTAAAAAGTGCTTTATAAATAAACTTTGACTTGACTTGACGACTGAATTTTACGAAGGTTTGGGTGAAATGGACACCATTACAAATACAAAAACAGTATTAAAATAAAAGTTTGTTAGTAGTCCTACTTATAATTTTAAGCTATATTGCTCTTTTAAATCTATTTTAATTAAATTAAATTAAATTAAATGTAACTTTTGAACAGCACTTTTGGAGAAAATAATAAAATGTTAAAAATAACAAGAGATGAGGATTCCAGTATAAATACTTTATAAATAAGTATACTACTCACCCAAGTCGTGACACAGACCAGCGATCTGAACACACAGGAAATCCTGTTTGGTAATTTTGAGCTCTGGCTGATTGTTGTGAAGAAGTTTCACCAAACGTCCTGCTAACACACACACACACACACACACACACACACACACACAAGACTTTAGCTTATCAAAATCCAAAACACTGAATCTAGCAAAAAGATTATTATTATTCTTTTTTTTTTACTTGCATGTCATGTGACTGTTATTCATCACATGGATGAGCACGCATTATGTTTTTATTTTTAATTATTAATTATTATTTTATTTTGAATATTAACATCTTAAATTATTAAAGGGGTCATATTATGCGATTTCAATTTTTCCTTTCTCTTTGAAGTGTTACAAGCTCTTGGTGTACAAGAGAATATCTGAGTTACTTTTTTAAATAAGTAAAGCAAGTTACTATTTTTTTTCAATTTATTGATTGCCAGCTCTCCTGTCCCCATGTTGAGAGAAATCAGAAGATGTTACTGTAGTTCTA